GGGGGGGGGAGGAGGAGGGGGAGGGGGAGGAGGAGGGGGGAGGGGGAGGAGGAGGGGGGAGGAAAAGAGGGGAGGTGGAGGAGGGAAGGGGGGAGGAAAAGAGGGGAGGTGGAGGAGGGAAGGGGGAGAAGAAGGGGGAGGAGGAGAGGGGAGGAGGAGGGGAGGAGGGCTGAGGGCCCCAGGCTGCTGACTGGCCACGCCCACTGCCCCAGCAGCCCACAGTCCAGGGGTGGGGAAGGCTCCCCCGTGCTCGAGAGTCACCTACCACATATTGGGGCTCTGCCCACCTCCCTGGGGTCCTTACAATAGGGGACACCCATTCTAGACAGGCCGCCTCCCGAGGTACTGGCCAGACCATGGGGTCCCAGGTGCACATCCTATCGGCATCCCCACTCGCCTCTCCTGGCCTCTCTGGGTTGCTTGACCTCCTTTAAACCCGGAACAGTAGACCCAGGGCATGGAGCTGTGGGCAGACTAAAGCCATGGCCACGTGCAGCCCTAGGGGGCTGTCTAGCATGCAGCAAGTGCCCGATAACGGCTCAGCCCACTGTCTAATAATCAAGTCCTGGGAGACACATCTGGAGGTCACACGGGCAGAACACAGAGACATACCCTCCCCTCTCCCTCTGTCTCCTGACCACAGGGAGGAGGCTGGGTGCTGCCCTGCAGAACATTCTAGAAGAGAAAGCTTTCTCCTTGGGGACAGTGCATCAGAACGTGTGAGCAAATGGGTTAAGGAAAGGCACCGGCGCTCTATACATCCGCTCGGCCCACTATGGCCTGAGGACACCGGCCCCTTCACCTCAAGGTCGTCAGGGGTGAGCGACACGCTGTTCGTGAAATGCACGTGAAGGGCCCTCTCGCTGGGACAGTGGGCTCCCACACTGTGGGCTGAACACAGCGGTGTGACGTCTTTGCCAGGGACACCGACCTCCACAACCCCACTGACCTTTCATGAGCACTCGGGACAGGCCAGCCACTGAGGGGGGATGTTGAAATCCAAACGTTTAGGGGAAACGAGCAAGAATCTTCATCTACCCTCTTGTCACAGGCCCCCCTCCCCAAGGCTCTGCAGACACACGGGGAGTCAATTCTGTGCGTGTGAGGAGGCACAACAGCCCCACGGTTTCCCTGTGCCAAACTCCTCTAAAATTAGTTTAGACGAACGATTTCCTCTGTATTCAAGACAGAGAAGAGACCAACATGTCACACGTCATCTCTTCCAAAGAGCAGCGCGCCCCAGATCTGAGACTACCTGGAGGGCTCTCCGTGGAGGTCATTCGCCGAGCCGCGATACGCTGGGGGATTTCGCACTGGGACCACTGAGGACACACGAGATCACACATGTGGTCAGGGGATGGGGACCCTCGGATGCAGAGGGGCTGAGCTAGGACCCACAGTACGGAGAGCACATAGCGAGTGGCCCTCTCGATTCATTCTGCCCCTTCTAGTAAAACATCTTTGCCCAGAAAATAAGCCAAAGGCCTTCAGATCAAGGCCACTGGCCTTGCTTCCCATGGGCTTCACCAAGGCGGAGGGACCGGGGCGTGCACTCACCATGATGTCGCCTTTCAGCAGCTGGGCGGGCTCGATGGCGATGTAGATGCTGCTTTGCGTTTCCGGGCCCACGTTGCTTTGGGACACACAAGAAGGTAAACCATGATGCAATTTCATGACTTAACAGAAAAAAACCCCTTTTGAGAAAATCGACCTCGCCTCTCAAACTCAGAGAGCACATGGAATACTCCACGTGGCCCTGGGATGCCCCTCCCCGGGGTCCAGCCGGCGTGTGGACTGTGCGTGTCGGTAACGAGCGGAGTGCGTGAGCGCCCAGGTGCCCCCCGCGTGCGGGTCCACCACGAGGCCCAACCATGACAGCAGCTCGTTCTGACCTACTTCTCACTCACGTTCTATTAATGTCCACAAAACACGTACAGCGAGCAAACAATAAAGCAAACCAGGAAAGCCCAGAAACTCAGACAAATTCTGAGGGCACCTGCCCATTGCCGAAAACACGCAGGGGAGAGAAGGCTCCCCAGTGCGGACCCTGTCACAGTACTCTGGGGTGCGGGCCTCCCCGCCCACCAGGCTCTGCGTCCACAACCCTTCCTGGAGCCAAGGTGCCCCTTCCAGCCCCCGGGCACTCCCCCGTCGACGCCCCAAGCCCTTCCCGCAGGACGGGTGGCTCAGGAAGGTGCATTTCCCGTGAGCACAGCACTTACTAGATCCCGGATGTGTACACGGGCTGCATGGCCTGGTAGAGCTTCAGGAAGGGCCGGCACACTGCAAGAGAAAGCTGTCCGTGAGACGCAGGACTGGACAGACAGACAGGAGTCTGACAAACAGCAAGGCAGAGGCAACCTGGGGCAAGCCGGCCCCTGTGCTGTGTCTGTGCTTTTGGGGAACAGAGCTGGAGTCAGACCACACAGTAGGGGACAGCGGGGCTCCCTGGGAGAGGTCCTCCTGGCCAAGGGACCCCGCACACAGTGACCAGGATGCCTGGACGGGGCAGGGAGGGAAGGCAGACCGGGGAAGCGCAGGGTCCAGGACAGGCCGCACATCTCGAGCGCGGTGTGTGGACGCTCACCTCCGCCCGCGTCGAAGTTGGGAGTGCCGTGAAGGATGACAAAATGCAGGAAGAGCGGCGAGGCGTTCATCTTCACCGTCCCCGACAGGAGCCCGCTGAGAAACTGCACGTACCTGCAACGGACAGCGGCTCAGGGTTCCCACGGGGGTCCCCATGGCTCTGAGCCCACGCGGGGCCACACACGCAGGGAGACCGAGCCTGCTGTCCCGGGGCGCCGGGAGGGGACCCAGCCCCACTGCCCACATCCAGGCAGGGCTCGACCTCCAAGTCCGACCCTGACGAGCACAGCCCGGGCACGTGACCCTGCAAGGATCCCTGGACACCACCCACTGCACGTGGCTGGGCACCCAGTGCAGAACCGCGGCTCCCATGCTGGGCCTGCACCCACACCACAAGCAGCCCTTCTGCCCCCAACCCAGAGCCATGCGGGCTCAGGCCATAGGGCCATCACGGTGTCCCCAGAACCACACAGGGTCAGGCCACGGGGCCATCACGGTGCCCTCCACCCACAGGGGAAAATGGGAGAGTGAAGGAGAAGACCTGTGACAGGGTTACTCTCCCCTCACCTCCCACCCCATGGGGAGACCCTGGCCAGGCTCTGTGCTGTTCCTGGCCCCGGGAGGGCCTATCGCCAAGCACACATGGGTTTTGGGATGAGAAAAAGGTCACCTTGAGACTTATAACCAGCATGCCTGTGACCAGAGAGTTCATTAAAGAACAACTGACCCCAGTCCCCTCCTGACAGCACCACTGCTAAGAGAAGAACATATGACAAAGGTCCTCCATGTGTTTATTTTTGTGAACCGTGTGGACAGGGTGGAGAGGGCACCCTGTCCCCTCCCTCCAGCTGTGACAATCACGCCCATGGCTAGTGCTTCATGTCGACAAGGCCGAGCTCAGCAGAGGGCCCTTGGCTCTGCGTACGCAGCCAGGGGCCTGCTCACCCCCAGCGCAGGACCCTAACCCCAGCAGGGTTGGGGCAGCAGCCCCAGGCAGCACATCTCCTGCCCCTAACAGTCTCCGGGGCCTACAGGCAGGTGGCTGACGACCAGCAAATCCCCAACACAGAGCGGAGCCACCGGTGGCTGGACCGCCACGTGCCTGCGCGCTGCTCAGTCCGCATCCGGCCAGCCCCGCAGGAGCATCGCTGCACGCCAGGGACCCTGGGTGCACAGAGCACACATCTCTCCTCTCCGCGCCCCAGTTCCACGCCAGTGTGCACGTCAGGGAGGAGTCAGGAGACGCTTCACAGTAAACCACACGGTGAACGTTCATGGATTTCCTGCTGGGGCGGCCTCGTCCCGCTGTTCTCAAAAGCAGTCAGCACACGCGCAAATGCCTTGTCCAAACACGCAGCTGAGTTAGGGGAGGCGGGACACGGACAGGTGACCAGGACGTCTCCTCATGGCCACTGCAAAGCACCCGTCAGCACCAAAGGAAAGAGAATTGGTTCCCGGGTGAAGACAGGAGCAGCGAGAGAGAACGGAAGGTTTGCGCCCCCAGTTCAACTGGCACACGGGCAGGAACCACATTTGCCTGCGGCAGTAAAGGGGGTGGGAACCTGACAGCTCCCTTAGCGCCCAGTGTAGGGGCCCTGTTCCAAACAGCTCCTCTGCCTCTCACTGTCTCCTCTCTCTCTGGTGGAAAGGAATTCCCTGTGATGACGTTTTCCATGCTTCCTCTCAACTAAAGCAAGAAGGTTCAGGAACCGCACGTGTTGGAGGGGAGACAGATGGCAGGGCACGTGCGTCACCCCTGCGCCAAAGCAGCTGGAAATCTGCACATGTCCAACACATTCCTTACCACCAGGGACGAGGGCAGAAATGCATGGTTGGGAGTTTCCTCGAATTCCCCTAAACGCTGACCTGCCCTGGACACCGCTCAGATCTCCCCGAACACGTATGTGTATCAGAACTAGCATGACCATGTCCCGTGGCTCAGCACGAGGACCCACTGTAAGGGCACAACCTTCCCTAAGGCTTCCTATCTTCCCCTCCGTGGTGCTCGTGGGGGCCACATGGATGGTGGGGAGACATGAGCTGGGCCCCTGCACCAGGACGGGACCCAAGCTGCCAGTTACCTAGCGTTCCCCAGCACTCCCGTCCCTGGCTGTGCAGGAGGCCCTGTGGGAGAGCCACTCTGCCTCCAAGCATGAGAAGCCTGGGGTGGGGGGCTGCAGCGGGCATGCTCCCTGAGGAGAGAGGAAGGGTGCCTGCTCCCCTCTATCTACCCTGTCCCCCATGCACGTGCTCTTTGAGACACACAAAGGGTCATGTCCAGACTATAAAAATGTCAAAAGCCAAATAAAGTTATGCTGGGAAAGGTTGGTCATCAGACACAGCTGGAATCCTCATTTCTGCAGGCCGGTCCCTTTACCAGGCAGGGTCGGACACGGGAATGACCCCACCAGGGGCGCCCTCGGGACCCCTTCTGCCCCGCACCCCTGGGAAGGTGAGCTCACCAACCCGGTATGAAATAAGGCTTGGAGGGGCTTGCTGCTGAGGCCCCAAGCCTCGCAGGCCATAAACCCCAGCAAGCTAATTAATTCACTCTCCCAGGAGACCCCGTTGAAATGGGTTTCTTGAGCTCAGTGGAGACAGAGGCTGCACAGTGCTCCCTCGGGGCAACGGGGACCACTGGGAGGGTCCCCATCACGGTGTCCATCCCACAGACGCGGCCATCCTGGGCTCCTCCGGACGCATCTGAGCGGTCATCTACCTACTCGAGAATGGTCTGTGAGCATCTCCTACTGCAGGAGCTGGGTGGATGGCCTTCCTCTCCTCTCCGGGTGTAGGGAGACTCGCCAGGGAAGGCAGAACAGGACTCACACCACCTTTACACAACGTAAATCCTACAGCTTCCGGAGCACCCAGATAGGAGGGGAACGTGAACGCTGTGGGCTTGCTACGGTGAGAAAGTATTTTTCCACGTTCCACAGTCTCGCGTTGCTATTAAAAATACTGTAAGTTGGGGACGCCTGGGTGGCTCAGTTGGTTAAGCAGCTGCCTTCGGCTCAGGTCATGATCCCAGCGTCCTGGGATCGAGTCCCACATCGGGCTCCTTGCTCGTCAGGGAGCCTGCTTCTCCCTCTGCCTCTGCCTGCCATTCTGTCTGCCTGTGCTCGCTCTCCCTCCCTCTCTCTCTCTGACAAATAAATAAATAAAATCTTAAAAAAAAAAATACTGTAAGTTGTAAGAGCAAAAAAGAAGAAACTAAGGCAAACTTCTTCCTCGTCGGGTGCTGAGCATTCTGAGTGGCCGGGAAGGAAGAACAAACATCACGCGATGGTCTCAACAGATGCAGGAGAAACACTGGGCAAAACACCACTTCCGCTTAGGACGGAAGCCACAAGACAGTGGGTGTAGAAAGAACACCCCTCGTTGTAAAAAGGCTGCGCACGGCAAGCCCACAGCTAGCATCACACTCACATGAGAAGCTGAAAGCTTCCCCCTGAGACCAGGAACAAGACAAGGGGGCCTGCGCTCACTGCTTTCATTCACGTGGTATCGAAGTCCACGCCACAGCCATCAGACAAGAAAAAGAAATGAAAGGCACGCAATCAGAAAGGAAGATTTCAACCTGTCCCAGTTTGCAATGACGTGATATTATAGCAGAAAAGCCTAACGACTCCCCTCAAAAACTGTTAGAACTAATAAATGAAATTAGTAAACTCAGAATATAAAGTTAATACACATCATTCCGTCGCCTTGCTATGGGATAATGACGCACCAACCCTAACAAGAGATGCAGAAACCAGCCCTGACGACGGCCTCAACAAGACTGAAAGTAACGTAAGAGTAAAGTTAACCAAAGAGGCGAAAGACGGGCATGCTGGAAACTCTAAGACACTGATGGAAAAAACGGAACAAGACACAAAGAAACGGGAAAATGTTCAATCCTCATGGAAGGGAAAAATAACACTGTTAACCTCAGTCTCTAGATTCAATGCAGTCCCCATCAAAATTCCTATGGCATTTTCCACAAAAACAGAAAGAAAACCTTAAAATTTGTATGGAACTCGGGCACCCGGGTGGCTCGGTGGTCCGATTCTTGATTTCAGCTCAGGTCCTGATCTCAGGGTCGTGGGACGGACCCCACCCCCACCCCCACCCCAGCCTTGGGCTCCACGCTCAGCAGGGAATCTGCTCCAGATTCTCTCCCCACTCTCCCTCCACCCCTCTTAAAATAAACAAGTAAATCTTTTTTTTAAAAAAGGGCAGAAGGGGCACCTGGGTGGTCAGCGGGTTAAGCCTCTGCCTTTGGCTCAGGTCATGATCCCAGGGTTCTGGGATCGAGCCCCGCATTGGGCTCTCTGCTCTACTGGGAGCCTGCTTCCTCCTCTCTCTGTGCCTGCCTCTCTGCCTACTTGTGATCTCTGTCAAATAAATAAATAAAATCTTTAAAAAATAAAAAAGGGCAGAAGATCAGAATAGACATTTTTCAGAAAAAGACCTGACACCCAGCAGACATGTAAAAAAGCGCACAGCGTCACTCACCATCAGGGAAACACACACCCACACACAGGGAGATACGGTGCCACACCTGCCAGGACGGCTATAGCCCACACAGGAGACAACGGGTGCTGGCGAGGATGTGGAGAATTTGGACCCCTCGTGCCCTGTTGGTGGGAATGCTCATGGGCGCAGCCACCATGGAAAACAGTAGGGAGGGTCCTCAAAAAGCTTAACGCAGGAATACCATATGGCCCAGGAACCCCACGGCTGGGTTATCTACCTGGTGAAACAGAACCACAGCCGCACGCCGGGTTCACTACAGCCACGCCGACAGTAACCTAGCTACGGGGCACCTCATGTGTCCGCCCGCGGATGGACAGGTGAAGGTGTGGTGTAGAGACAGCACAGACCACGAGTCAGCCATAAAGAAAGGATGAAATCCTGCCATTTGCAACAGCTTGGATGGCCTGCGAGGCACTATGCATCACAAAATAAATGAGACAGGAAAAGACACTTACATGTGGAATCCCAAAAAACAAAACAAATGAACAAACAAAACAAGCTCAAAAGCTCACAGATACAGAGAACAGAGCGGTACTTGACAGAGGCAGGGTTTGTGGGATGGGCAAAGGGAGGGATGAAGAGAGGGAAGAGGGGAGGAGGGGGAGGAAGGAAGGAGGAGAAGGGGGATGGGGAGGAGGGGGAGGAGGGAGAGGAAGGGAGGAGGGAGAGGAGGTGGAGGAGATGGGTCTGACTGCAAACAGTCCTGGACATTGGGGACTCCCAGGACAAAAGGAGGAGGGCCTGTGGCGGCCTGGAAACCCCTTTCCCAGATGGAAGAATCGAGGCCCAGCTCCTGACCAACACGCCCGTGGCCGGCGCCCCGGGGGTGTGGAACCCTCCATCTCCTGTCTGCCAGCCACGCCCGCCGGCACCTCGGGGAGCAGAGGTAAGGGTGAGCCGCACAGGACGGGAAAGCACCCTGGCAACCGTCTTGGCAATTCTTGGCCAATTCCCTGCTGTTCGCTTTCAAATAACAGTGCGGTGACCTCCTCGGCTGGGCCCAGAGGGTGGCGTGGACTCACCTGGGGGCGCGGGGCAGGAGGAAGTCTGCTCCCCCAGGGCCCTCCGCCACCGGGACTGAGCATCTCCCAGGGGCAGAGCCGAGCGCCGGAGAGGGAGCGGTGGGTGGGCCGGGGGGCCAACGTGAGGAAAGGCCTCAGGGCGGACAGCCTAGTGCAGGAGTCAGCCAACCACACACCTGCTGTGAGGCCACGTTCACTCTCATGCTGGGCCCGCCATGACAGAGATCACGCAGCCGGCGGGGCCCCGACCAGCTACTCGCCAGCAGGTTAGAGACGCGGTTCGCCGACCCCCAGTCCAGCAGATAGAGCCCAGTCCCGACATTGTGGCGCGAATCCACAGCCGCCCTGAGTGTGGAGGCCCCGGCGTGAAACGTGGAGCACGTGGTGGGGGGGTCCTGGGCCCACCTCCCAGAGCCAGCCAGAGCCGAGGCTCCTTGGCCACCCACACGCGCAGTGGCCCTTCTTCCTCGTTGGGCACCCACCAGGCTGGCCAGGGAGATGTCCCTTCTGTCCCAATTTCTGAATCGTAAGATATCACTGAACTGTTGGCTCTGGCTCAGGGACGCATACGTACCGCTTCTGGGAAGGCTGCATTAGGGCTGAAACTTTATCATCATAGAACTTCTTCATTGCAAACCTGTCGAGGGCCTGGTCAGCGCTGAGGAAGGAAAGAGAGAGAATCAGCACAGCATTAACCGTGGACGCCGCGGATGGCCGGGTGACGGGGGCAGGGGCTACGGCCTGGCAGGTCTGGACCACCGTCCAACACAGCGGCACCCTCTCTCCAGGTGGCACAGCTCCCAGGATAGCCACCCCCCAGGCTCCTTCCCCCAGGCGGGCACAAGGCTGGCATCCCAAACTGTCCCATTGCCACACCGGCCCCATGACAGCAGGGAAGTAGCAGAGAGCTGTGCGTGAGTGTCGGGATCCCAAGGGTTTGGGGCACAGCAGTTAACACTACCCTTAGTGACCACCAGCAAGCCCTGGGGGCCAGCTCGGGACCCACAAGGAGTCACGACCCTCAGCAGGCCTTGGGGGGGGGGGGGAGTCACACAGCGGTGGCCGCGCACGAGCAGAGTGCGCTCAACAGGACCCTCAGAAAACCCTGCAGCTGGGCGTTCACGATCTGGTTGATCTGACGGATCCGTCCCACATTGTGGGACACGGACGCGAGAGGTCACAGCGACCGAGTCTTGCTCGAGCCCAGAGCTTCCCAGACAACCTGATCGGAGCTGGGCTCTTCCCTCACAGAGTGCACGCACGCGGCCCTGCGGAACACGGGGATCCACCGAGTGCATCTGTCCTGGGCTGCGCAGGGGGCGGGGGGGGGGGGCGCGGGGGGGGGCTGGCCCAGACGGAAGGTTGCCTGCCCGCAGCACTGAGCCTTCACCGTCATCGACGGTGCATGTTTTAAGCTGAGAAGTACCTTACACGGAGCTTCACTTGCAAGCGTTCCTCTTCCCAGAGCTCACGGGTCTTACTAAACGCTGACAGTGTACTTCCGGCTCGTGTGTGTGTGTGCGTGTGTGTTTGTGTTCGTTCAGGAATAACGTCACCGTCGGCGTTAATACTCCCGCTGACGGTCTCCCCGATCACCCGTCCCCAGGGTGCCGACCCAAGAAGCTTCCTTCTCCTTCTGGATTTCTCCTCTCAGAGGCCATCCGGAGCACGGTTCGCAACAGAGATCTTAGAGATGCGTGCTCCCCGTGATGGCTTCTGGGAATGCCAACGATCAAGGACACAAACGTGTGGGAGGCTGGTCGCCACGGCGGGCTCGGAGCAGGGAATCAGGAGACGCTGCCTCGACGGGCACAAAGCAGCCCCATGCCTAATGACCTAACGCCGCCTCCATGCTTGGCGGCTGGGCCCCCTCCATGCGGCCGCTCGGGCGCACATCCGGGAAAGTGCAGTGATTGGGAAGAACAGGGCCGAGCAGTGCTGCTGTGGCGAAACATGAGGACGACCCGAGCAGATCGGCCGGGATGCGGTCCGGTGCCCCGTCTGGGCTCCGCAGGGGTCTCGGCAGGAGCAGCCGCCTCGGGCTCTGGCACACACACAAACGCTCATTATCACCAAGAAGGGCTCTGGGTTTCATGGGGGCTCGGGTTTCCTCCTGGGCCGGCCCCAGCTCCGCCGTCTGTGTCCAGAAAAAACACTTGGGAAGTCAGACTCCACTCCTTGCTGCTGGAAAGGGCAGGACTTCCCAGCTAATGTGAACAGCGCGTGCACGTCCTCCGAAGGGAGCAGCCCTGCCCCACAGAGCGGCCACCCAGACGACGGGGTGAAGGCACACCCACAAAGGACGGTGCTTCTGGACCAGAGTTCAGTGTGAGTGAGATGTGGGCTCAGGGCGCGTGCCTCTGGGGGCACCCTGCATCCAGGAGACCCCACGCCGCTCCAGCGCCCACAGGCTGCCCCAGCCTCGCTGCACCTGCCAGCCCAGCCTCCTGCGGGCTGGTTCCCTATGGCTGTTCCACCTCCTGGGGGCCCAGTGGGACCAGGCTTCCCACTCACGGGCCAGGAGACCAATAGCAGGCCGAGCCTCGGGTCTGTCATCTGTACAGTGTGAGCATGAGAGCAGCCCCCAGGTCACTCAGGGGGATGGAGGGGGAGAAGCCCAACCTGCAAAGTACTTCCCAGAGACCCAGGGCTCATGAGGCCACTCAGCTTCACAGGGCACGAGGCGCCCGGTGAGACCGCACAGGCCTTGCCTTTGGTACGGTCACGTCCACCCCTGCGGGGGTGTTAGAGAAGGACGGCACGCTCACTGCTCTCCCGCCACCGCCACGGAAGACGCCAGTGCGAGGCAAACACGGGGCACACCAGTGGCTGGGGCTGCTCCCGGCCGAGCCCCCACCCCTTCCCAGACCTCCCGACGCCCCCAGCAGCGCAGACGCCCCGCATACCTGGCTGACACGTTGGTGAAGTGCATGTAGGAGGATATGACCACGCCGATGCGTCCCTTTCCACCCTGCGGGAGACAGAAGAGGGACTTGGTTTCTCTCGACTCCTGAGGCAGCGACAGAAGGCTCGCTCGGTCCGCTTGGGACGACAAAGAACTAGTGTTGTTGGGGGAGCCACGGCCAGCTTCCTCTGGTCCCTGTGCTGGGGGACAGCAGCACTGAGCCCAGCAGGCAGCAGACACGCCTGGGGCACCCGTGGGCCCCTCGAGGACAGGTCTGCAGAGAGGCGGCCACTCGGCTAACCAGGTCCCACCGGGGCCATGAGAACGTGCGAGGAGGAAGCACTTAGCGTGACTTCACTATAGGTGACAGGGCCTAACGCCCACCTCACAGGCTGAGGGGTCTGAGAGCTGTGCACACCATGCAGAGGGCCCAGAGGGCATCACAACTGCCACCTGCCACCACCAGCCTGGCCCTGCCCAGTTCCACAGGGACAATGGCCCCAACATGCAGGGCTCAGCCCATGACTACAGACATATACAGCCTGAACGGGGAAGCCACCAGAACCGCAGGCCAATGGGAACCATGGGACCCATGGGACCCAGGGGAGTGGGTGTGTGGAAGCACCACAGCCGTGATAGGTCACCTGCACCCAGGGCCACAGACTGCCACCTTCTGGAACATTCTGCCATGACCCAGATCGACGGTCGGCAAACCACAGTGCACAAGCCACTTCTGCCCAACCCACATCCTGCAACCTGTGAGCAACGTGGTGCCATGTTTTAGGACAACTGAAGAAGAGTCAAGAGTCAAAATACCCTTCCGTGCCACACGGCAAACACGGAAAGCCCAACCATGACTGTGCGTGTGACAGGAACATGCCACACCCGTCTGTCCAGGCGCCTCGGGGACCAGATCCACAGGCAACGGCACGGGCAAACACTTACAAGACCCTGCAGCACCCAGAGCCCAAAATATTTGCGGTCTGGGTTTTTCACGAGAAGTTAGGCAGCCCAGACAGAGGAGCACACGAAGCTAGAATGGCAAGGCCATGGACACGCGCGTCCCCACATCTATCCTGGAAAAGAAAAAGCGGAGCAGGGAAGCCTGGGTGGCTCAGTGGGTTAAGCCTCTGCCTTTGCCTCAGGTCATGGTCTCAGGGTCCTGGGATCGAGCCCCACATCGGGCTCTCTGCTCAGCGGGGAGCCTGCTTCTCCCTCTCTCTGCCTGCCTCTCTGCCTACTTGTGATCTCTGTCAAATAAATGTGTAAAAAAAAAAAAAAAAAAAACAGAAACAAAACAAAAAAACCAGCGGAGCAAATCCAGGCCGTGACCTCCACCGGAGCAAATGCCTCTCCACGGTGTGCACGTGGGGACCGCGGAGACATGGCCAGTTCCTCCCCACGCGGCTACTAGTCCGCTATGAGGAAACGTCTCCCCGACCACGCCGGGCATGCGTAGGGCCACGAAGCTGTCACACCCAGGCAGTCCCTGTGTCTGTGACGACCCTGAGAGTCTGAACTCCAGCAGGACGTCAGGACCGTGGCCTGCACCAGTGCGGCACAGGGCACCACACCTTCCAGAAGACCCATAGGCTGTGTCTGCTCAGCCCGTCGCCCGTGGGCAGGTGAAGGCAAGGGGCCCCGGTGCAAAGCCACACAAACCCGTCCTGTGCAGCGGACCAGAGGGCAGGGCCGTCCCCGTGCTGGGCCTGGGTCTGCCTCCCTGCGGCCAGGGGCCCCGCTCCGCTCCCGTTCCTGGGGCGCATGGAAGGAAGCACACCTTTTGCAGAACTCACAGGTTTGCAGGAATGATCCCAATATCACCCCTGCCACGAACCAGATGAACTTCTGTTAATGCCGACATTGCAAGTTCACGTTGAGTGAGGACGCCTCACTCATGGCATGTTTTCTAGAACGTCTCGGAAAGGGCTTGCACGTCCCCAGAACAAAGCAAGAGGGGAGCAAGTGGTTTCCAAGAACTCCTGATGTGCTCCCAGTAACTCCCGCTAACAAGACTTATCCCGGGGCGCCTGGGGGGCTCAGGCGGGTACGTGTCTGCCTTCGGCTCAGGTCATAGTCTCAGGATCCTAGGATCGAGCCCTGCATCAGGCTCCCTGCTCAGCGGGGAGCCTGCTTCCCCCTCTGCCGCTCCCCTCCTCCTTGTGCACATGCATACACTCTCTCCCAAATAAATAAATAAAATCTTTAATTAAAAAAAAAAAAAAAGGCTTGTCTATGGAGCCAAGCGTTGGGTAGGACCACACATGGTCTGGACATCTCTCTGCAGTGAGTCTGTCCCCTGTGACACAGACACTGTAAGTGACAGTGCAAGTGACTTCGTTAAAAAGGGAAGTCGATGACCAAAATGGGATGAGTAGTTAAGGGGAGCCTCCTGAGGACCAGCACCGCAGAACCTTCTGGGGGCCCAGGTGGCAGCGGCCAGGGAGAGCAGGACCTGGTTTCTCACCTGCGCCAGGTCTGCTAGAGTGCTCCGGTCCCTGCTGGGGACTGCTGCTCAGAAAGCCTTACGCACTGAGCTCCAGGGGAAGCATCCCCGGAAGCACCAGGCCAGGCCTGATGGAAAGCAGTTGGTTTTAACTGACAAGAATTGGTTTAAGAAACAGAGAAAAAGCCTATCTTCTTTTGAAGTTTGCACCAAAACATAAATCCAGAGAGAAGATCCTTAGTATAACGCCACCCTGAAAGGCTCCAGGGAACGTAATTTCACAAGCAAACGAACGGGGAGCCTGGCTGTTTGCTGGAGCGAGTAAGCGAGTCGGGTGTGAGCAGAAGCAGGGAGAGGAGAGCAGGAAACGCCTCACCCGTTCGTGTGCTCCCTGCTCTGCTGGGAGCCAAGGGGCCCGTCGCACACCGCCACCGAGGCCCACCGCCGTCCCGCAGCCCTCATGCAAGTGGGTCTCAGAACCCCTGGGGGACAGTGGCTCGGACAGCCCAGCATAGCTCGAGGGGAAGGGTCTTGCCAACTAAACTAAATCCAAGGCAATGGGTTTTCCTGCAGCTTTTGAATGTGAGAAGATCTGAAAAAGATATTTGAAGAAGGAAATAGGAACACACTAGAGAAGTGGAGAGAGTCCCTGGGACATGGTGTGTAACGTACAAAGTGAGGAGGGGCCCCTTCCCTCTGGGAGCACTGTCCTTTCCCAGGGTGCCCCCCACACGCTGCACCAGCGCACGCGGGTCTGCGGAAACCACCGTCCTCATGGAGCAGCCGGCCTCCGGGCTTCCCCACGCAGGACACTGGCCTTCTGTCCAGCCTCGTTTTCCACCCATCAGACCTGAGGACCAGGAAGCACAGGACGGCAGCAAGAAACCAGAGGAGGAAGAGAAGAGCTCCCAGGAGGTCAGAGGTCAGGTGCGGCCAGCTCCAGCCACGCTGCCAGGGGGCAGCCTAGTCCCGTCCCCCTCAAGCAGCCAGCTGGGTAGGACCACGTGTTCACAGCTAACAGCATCCTCCCCCCTGGCTCAGGTGGACCAAGTATAAGTGGGAGTTGGACAGCATCCGAACCGCGCCCTGCTCCTTCTCCAAAGGGCTTTCCGGAAAACACAAACCACATCCAGATAAAATGTTTCACCACCGTGGATGCCTTCCGTTCATTTAAAAATGCGCAGGTGTGCGTTCAGTGCCCCCAGGCCTGCCCATTCTAGAGCCCGGCTCCGGGAGAGTGAGGACTCTTCCCTTCGTAAGGGCGGGTGTGTGAACGTGACCTCCAACACCAGCAGATCCGCACGTGCCCGTGGAAGGAGGTCTCCGCGGGACCCCGCGGCCCCGCCCCCCAGCCTAGCACCGAGAGGAACTCACCCTACAGTGGATGACGACCACGTGCTGGGGGTCGCTGTTCAGCCAGGTCTCCTGCGCCTTGCAGATGGTGCACACCTGGTCCAGGGGCGGCGCGTGCAGCTCCGGCCAGCCCACGTCCAGGATCTGCAATGAGAGACGGGCTCTGTCTCTACAGAGACCCTTCACGTGCCGGTAAGCAATGCTGCCACGTGTTCCCTCCCTAAGGCCGCCTGGGAGCTGTGGCCGGGCGCCTTCCCTGGAAGGGAACATGGGGGGGTATTATGTTGCCCCCGTGAGACGTCCGTGCCCGTCTTATCTGCTGTCCTGCAGCTGGGACGGCAACCCGAGAAAGGGCTTTCAGTGCCACTAATGGGGCGCAGCTCGTGGGGCGGGCAGATCTGGCCCGGCCAGATCTGAAACAGGAGTTCTTGGTTGGAGCTGGTGCCAAAATTCCTCAGTGCAGACTAAAATCAGAGCTTGGGAAAATGCAGGGGGCTGTTCCCCATGTACCGCGCAGGAGACGTCCCAGAGAGCAGCCCAGCCCACATGCCTCAAGGAAAACACGCTCCTCTCGGGACAGGAGCCTGCCCACGAGGGAAGCACCCTGAGCCCGGGTTATAGCTCAGAGCAAGAACAGAGACGGTCTTCACTGCGTGACACAGAATACAATGTCTGTGCATGGGAACAGCCCCCCACCCGAGCCACCTGACAGCCTCCAGCACCCCCGCCCGGAAGCCTGCCTAGCCATGCAAAATGCATCCTATTCTACCTTCGTTTTTTTTAAGGGGAGTCGGAGCTCTCTTCTATGAAAGTAATAGGAACCGTGCAAAATGATGGGAAAATTTCAGAAAAATCCCAGGAACTAGAAAATATCGCATATCCCTTCCACCATGCAAGGTAACAGCTTTAACACTGAGGAATCCCTTAGATTTTTTCTGTGTAGTTGAGCAGAGCTGAGAGGCTATCACACGGGACCTCTAGGACCTGCTTTATTAACTGGCATTAAAACAGGCAATTCGGCACACACCACACTCCCACTCCAGCGGCGGCCGGACATTCCGATGTACGGCACACACAGACTACACACACTGTGGCTCACACGCATGCACAAGCTTAAAGCCCTCCCTAAATCTTTCCGAGAAAGATGAACGCACAGAGGGGAGAGCATGACAGGTGGCAGGAGGGAGACCCCGGCAGTGGAAATGTCTGGTGGATCCCGCCAACCTCGGCCTCTGGCATCAACACGTTACTGCGAGCTAATGTGTGGTGCTCCCACTGCAGAAGACTGGGGCTACGTGGGGTCTCTCAGTGTATTTTCACAACATACCATAAACCCAATTATTTCAAGTGAAAGAAATTAACAGGGACACCTCTCTGGCTTAGTCAGTAGAACATGTGACTCTTGATCTCAGGGTGGTGAGTTCAAGCCCCACAATGGGGGCAGAGATTGCTTAGGGAAAAAAACAACAACTCAAACACAAAAACGACAACCCACAGATAAGAGTTCCCAACACCCCTTAGGACGTCACGTGCCACAGAGACTTGAATGGCTTTGCACGAGCAGATATGCCTCAGGGATGTTTGATGAAACCCAGAAAGTAAAGGGCTAAGGTCGTACCTTTGGGTTGAGCTTCGTAAGGTCATATCTCTTTTCGGAAAGGTTTAACACCTGTGAAGGGCAAAGAAAAAGCCATCAGACAAGTTCAGGACCTTGGAGGTCAAAGAGGAAACAGTGTTCACACTTCCCGCGCCGTCTGCCTTCAAGGCACTGAGGAGTCTGAAAGACTGAAACTCTCATGGAAATGTTACTGTCACGGAATGAAACCCAAACAGCATACATAGGGACGGTGGACAGAATTGTGGTGGGGGGGGGGCGGTGGGCAAGAAGCCAGGCTTGCTGGGGGGGGCGGGGCAATGAGGGCCAGAGCCGGCGGGGGGCCCCACCATGCACACAGTAGCAGCCAGGGGCCTGGGGGAGGAGATCAGGTCCCCTATGGCAGAGACAGTGGAGCTCCAGGCCCCGTCCAGGTCTGCTTGGGGCACCCGGCTCTGCCCCAGCCGGGGTCCACAGCCCTTCTAATTGGACCAAGCTGCTGCCCAGACCCGTGGGCCATAGGCCTGGTCCCATTTAAGGACCAGGTCCCTGCCATCTGGGGCCCAGGGCCCTCCCGAGTATCTGGGGCCAGTGAACGGACGGGAGGGAGGACAGGTGCAGGGACCAGGAACGTGCTGACCCCTGGGCCAGAGGAAGGAGGGTGTGCCTGCAGAGCAGATGGCCTGGGTCAGAAGGGCAGCCGTCCCAAAGGTGCCAGGCCCCAGGCAGACGTCTGGGTTCTGGGCTGCAACACGCTTTCGCTGGCTACCATTAGGCCATGCTGAGGACTGGCATGCAGGGAAGAGGCAGGTGCTCGGGGGCCAGGAGAGTGCTGCTCTGCCCAGCATGACCGCTTGGGGCCAGTCTGACCATCTGGGGCCAGCAGTGACCGCTCGGGACACACTGACCTCTCCGGGCCGGCACTGACCCCTCGGGCCACCCTGACCTCTTCGGGCCGGCGCTGACCCCTCAGGCCACACTGACCTCTCCGGGCCAGACTGACCACTTGGGGGCCGGTACTGACCGCTCGGGGCCAGCACTGACCTCCTCGGCCAGCACTGATCATTCAGGCCACACTGACCGCTCCAGGCCGTACCGGCTGCTGGGACGGAGGCACGGCCCCCTTGGATCCCCTCTGTCTCTGGGCCACTCTCGCAGACAGCCATGTGGTCATGCCAGAGGGTGGCAATCACGGCCTTATCAAGCAGGGCAAAGGTCAGCAGCTTCACCAGATAATGAGGCCACGTGGGAGCAGGTGCGGACAAGGTGTGGGACTCTCATCCGATGCACGGTCACATCGGGACAACCCGGGGCCGTCGCACAGGGGCCGCCGCCGCAGGAGTGCACTGGGTAGCCAGGGGACACACGGGACTCTGGCCCACACTTCTTTGGGGGCTCCCTCTTACGAGGTCATATGGGTCCCCAGGGCACAGCGGCTTCCAGGACCCCGCCCTCTGTCCTCGGGGTTCAGGCCAACAGGAGGGAAAGACTGGGCTTTGACACCAGGGATGCTGGATGCTTTGAAACCACTGGGGCTGATGGGTCTGTCTGATGCTGAATGCGGCCACAGCAGGGGGGCTGCCCACCCTCAGGCGCCCAGGGGCAGCCGCCATGGGCAGGCGCAGCAGGTGGCACGAAAGACTAGAGGCCCGGAGGGAGGGAGTCCCAGAGCATCTCCGTGAAACCAGGTACCTGGAGGACCAGATGCGCGGAGGCATGGGACCACGTCCCCCCACGGGTTTAGCAGCCACCCCGAGACACTCGGTACCTCTTCGTATTTCCGGTAACTCAGTGTCTCCCCAAGTATGGTGCTCTGTGTCCCCTGACTGTCCCCGCACTCCCTGGCTCCCCCGTCCTCCTGCTCAGTGCCCTCCCCCACTCACCAGGTAGTTGTCCCCGTGCTTGGACCTCAGCATCCGTGTCACCTCCTGCAGGCCGCGCAGGTAGGACTCCTCGGAGCAGCTGGCGGGGAAAGACACGGCGATGATGCGCTCAGTGATGTAGATGAGGTCCAGCTCGCGTCCGTCCTCCATGGTGCAGCTCAGCCCCGCGGGCCTAGGAGCAGGGCCAGAAGCAGGGTCAGGAGCGGGGTCAGGAGCAGGGTCAAGAGCAAGGCTAGTCCCCAGAGCAGCGGACGGGTCAGCCTCTGCACACACAGCTCACACAGGAGCCCGCGTGTCCTCTTTCGTGCAAGCATGGCTGTGTGCGGCTCTCTGCTGAGGACGCCCGGGTGCTAGGGGCGGGAGCGGTGGGACAGCAGGTGGGAGGGCAGGGGCGCAGAAGCAGGAGGGTGGAGAGCAGGACCACCAAGTGCTCCCATCCTACAGAGGGGAGGGCCTGGTGAGGCCAGGATGGGGCCTCCTGCCCACAGCGCCCCAGCTGCACCTGCATCACAGGACGGTGCTGTGGAGACCATGGTCGAGAGCCGTCCCTCCTCCCCCACCCGCCATCTTCCTCCTCCTCTTCCTCCTCCCCCTTCTCTCCTCCTCCTCCAGGAGGACAGGCCCCCAGGGCTGAGGGTGGTTGGGGACGAGACGCCAGGTCAACCCCAATGGGGTGATGGCCCATGGCAGAACCACGGGGAGACACGGGACACACACAGGACGCGGGTTTGGACCCAGAGCCCATGAGCTCTGGGGGTTTGCGGCTGTCGCCTATCTATGACCGCCTCTTTCTTCTGTGTTTCTCTCCTGACTTTGGAAAAATTCAGAAACATACAAAACCACTTCACAATCATCTGACTTCCAAAGGACCCCACATGCCCCCCCACATCCTGCTACCTCCGCCAGCTTTCGGATTCAAAGAAATCCCAGATGCTCCACAACTTCATGTATAAATACGTTAGCATTTCTTTCTAGAAGATAGACACTTTTTAGAAATACCTACAAGGTCATTACCAGACCCCAAATCATAAACTTGATTTTCAAAGCTGATTTATTCCTACCAGGAGGCAGACGATCGCGGAGATTTTTGTTCTCTCTACCTTACGCACTACAGAGGGATGCGAGAGAGTTCTGATTACTTTCAAAAAATGAACCAGGTGTTTGAAACACTGATCTGAAAAGTCATAATGCGGATTTTCCACCAACCGCAGCTCCTGAGGGACAACCCCATGTGGAACGCGGGCTGTGGCCATCCTGGCAAGCACCTGCCGGGGGCGCAGGCCAGCAGAGTTCCGTGCACATGCCAGGTTCGGCCCGGGAACGCCCCCAGCGGCCACGAGCACTACAAAGCCACAGCCATGTCTGGAAAGAATCGCTTTCCCGCAGTCTGGGCTTTAGGGCTGGGAGGCAGAGGCCCGAAAAAGAAAGTCGATAAAGAAAAACTTGATACGTAACACCTTTGAACATCTTCCTAAAGTGAAAAACAGAACAAAACCAGAAGTATGATGACCACATAAAATAAAATAAAGTAACACCAAGCTCAGGGGTTCCCTGTCAGGTCTGACCCCGGGTGGGCACACGCTGACGAGCTACGTACGGTGCTGGCCACTCACCTGGGCGGTCTGGCACGGCGGAGAGCAGCGGATGGTGCAGAAGCCCCCGGAGCCTGCAAATGACAAAGCACTGGTCATTCTTGGTCCCCGTCCCCAGCCCGCAGCCTGCCGAGAAGGAAGGACACGGCCCGTCCTCGTCGAGTCGCAGGTGGGAAGTCAGTGTGGTGGCCGCAGGCTCATCTTAAGGCCCGGGAGGATCTCTGGCACGTCGGGGGGGGTCTCAGCCCGGGGACTGCAGACTCCCAGCCACACGCTCCCCGAACCCCCAGTGGGACGGGATTCATGGGGGGACGGACCCACCTGCAGCCCCAGGCACGCGGCCCTCGGCAGGGTGCATGCCCGTCCCCATCTGTCTACACGTGGTACTCAACCGAGGGCACGGTCAGCATTAACTTGGCCACTAGTATTTACTTGGGAAAAAAAAGAAGTGAGAATGTCTACGGTTTAAGAAGCCTTTCAGGGGCACCTGGGTGGCTCAGTAGGTTAAGCCTCTGCCTTTGGCCAGGGTTATGATCTCAGGGTCCTGGGATCGAGCCCCACATCGGGCTCTCTGCTCAGCAAGAAGCCCACTTCCCCCTCTCTCTCTGCCTGCTTCTCTGCCTGCCTCTCTGCCTACTTGTGGTCTCTCTCTCTGTCAAATAAATACTTAAAAAAAAAAAAAAAAGAAGCCTTTCAGCAGGGGAAACCCTCAGCTTGTGCCGAGTTTACAACTTCCACAACCCTTCCGTGTGCACGTGTGTTAACGCGGCACGCCGGCTGTGCATACAGCATTTCAGGAGACACATCCGGCAACCGCGGGAGTAGGAATCCCCTCCCCCATTCCAGAAGTGGGGAAACCAAGGCTCAAGAGGTGTGCAAGGCTCTGCCCGAGACGGCAGAGGCGGGAGAGCCCTTCCCACGATGCAGCAGCTCCTCTCTCAGGCCTGTTGCGAGTCCCAGCCCCGCTCTGCCGACCAGCCCGGGCGCCCGCCTGAAGAGGGGTGATGCTGGGAACATGCGTGGCAGGACGCCCAGATCTCACAGACCTCCCTCCTGCTCCCTGTCAGCCCCAGACCTGGAGAACCCTTCACAGGCTTGGACACCCAACATCACCAGCACGTCACTGGGCACCTGGCTCAGTCTGGCTCCAGAGCAAAAGGAAGACGCCAAGGAAGTCTCCCGAGGCCCCTTCGGGAATGGAGATGGCACGCCCCAGAAGTCACACCAAGCCGTGCCTAAGCCAATGGCAAACCCGAGGCCGTGATCCGAGACCCCAGGCAGAGACAGGACCCAGAGGGTGCCCTCCTCTGTGCACAGGACGCTGAGAGAGCTTGCCCGTTGGCTGTCCCTGGTGGATGCGTGCCTCTCCTACACGTCCCCTTACAGAGGACTCTGGGGGCTGACAGAGCCCGCTCCCTCGGTGCCTGGACCCTGAGCGGCATAGGACAGTGGCCCCCCAGGAGGTCAGGGAGGCTGGACCCACTTTCCCCAAAGCAGCCCTGAGGCCTGCTGGCTGGGTTCCAGCCAGGCCCCCCAAGAATCCCCGCCCACATCCCTTGGCAACGGATGGATGGCAGACAGATGATAGGACACAGACGCACAGATACATGCATGAAAGGTAGACCGCTGAACACACCCGCACACTCGCGCGCGCGCACACACACACAGCAAGATGGGAAGGCAGGGCCTGCCTACCCTCGTGCCACTTCTCACGCCTACCTGCCATCACTCCGCTGTGCCTGAGGCTGAGTTAGACTGAACAGAAGCGCACAGACTGAGAACCAGCAGACATGGTCCACGCACGTGAGTGTGTAGACAGAGCACAAATACCTTTCCAACGTCCCCATCACCCAAGTGGATGACAGACCACTCACCGCCCACACCCCCAGCCTGGCGGCGAGGCCACCCGCCACCTCACGGTGACAGCCGCAGCTCAGCATGGAGGGGCTGAGGGTCTCTGTGGTGAGGGGGGTCACTTGAAGGGAATGTGTATTGGGCACAGCACAGCCGGTACCCGAATCCTGAAATGGCATCATTCTGCACCTTGGGGACAGCAAGGGGGTGGGCATGGCCACAACATGTGCACACAGGGGCGGAGTGACAGGAGGGTTTCCGAGGACAGAGGCAAAGCCAGCCCCAGACCATGGTTCACTGTTCCTCCAGCATGGTGTCCCGTGAGAGCTGGCTGAGATCAGCAAGCGCAGACACACCTGGGGGACACCTGGCTCCTGGTGGGAACCCGAAGAAAGCATCATCGCCCCACAGCCTGGGAAACGGGCATTCGGGAAGACAGCGCCGTGTGCAGAGCCACACAGCTAAGATGCGGTAGCCACTTCTGACACCCGGCTCAGGACCCTGTCAATCCGCAGCCCCGGCGGCCTGCAGGCCGACTGGCCGGGGCACGACTTTGCCACACAGGGCGCTGGTCAAAGGGGGACACAAGGCTACCCTCCCTGTGCGTCTTCGTTCAGGGGCAAAGACTCTACCTGCTCTCGGGGTCCACAAACCAGGTTCCCCTTCACACGCCACAGCACAGTTCATGGCTTAGGAATGACCCGGAAACCAACTTACTAGAAGTCTCCCTTGCTCCGCAGAACCCTACACCCTCGCCTCATCCGGGAGGCCCCGTGCCTCCTGAGCTGCATGTTCCTCGTGGGGCCGCTGCACGACGACAGCGGCCTGCCCGCCTCCCTGGGCAGCCTTCCGAGGGCGCGCCACTCTTCAGGCACCTCGCCACGTGTGCAGAAACAACAGTGTTTCCGGTACGCGCGTCGGGTCCCCACCTGCCTCTGCCCGGCCCCACCTCCTTCACCCCCGGCCGCTTTGGCATGCGCTTATCGCAGCCTGCAGCTCCAAAAGGCCCTAGAAACCCGAAGGCAGGGGCAGGGGTGCACGTGGAATCTGGGGCCAAGGTTACACCTGCACCAGGCCAACCGCAAAGCCTGCACTGCCCCTCCCCCCGTCGTGTCTCCGAAAAGGAGCTCCTCCGCTGGCCCCCAAAGCGGTCCTGGGCCCCTGTGACGTCGCCGGCCTCCCTGGCCATCCGGGGACGCCTCTGGGGTCCAGGACGCACAGCAAGCAGCGAAGTGGGCATCCCACCTGGTAAGGACTCATCCCATCAGCCCGGGGGGCTCTCTTGCTCAACACACTTTTGCAATCACCGATCCTCATTTCCTCGGCTAATGGTGTGATTTTATATAAGAAACAAGCACAGCAAGACCAATTTTGCAGCCGTGGGACACCAGCCCATGCCCGTATTTCAGGAGGAGACAGTGACCGGAAGGGGGGCACGTGAGTGTTTGAGTAGAGCACAAATACCTTTCCAACGCCCCCATCACCCAAGTGCATGACTTGGGTCCGCGCCCATATTTCAGGAGGGGACAGGAAGGGACAGGGACCGGTGGGGAGATCTGAATGCAGACAAAACTGTCTTATGAAGGGAGGCCCACTGAGCCTGGGGCTCGCTTCCTAGTCGGTTACCCTGGTGCGGAAGGCAGGCCCAGTGCCTGTTCTTGGGAGGAGCTGGTCCAGGCTTTGTCAAGGGACGAGGCTCCTCAGATGATGCAGGCTCTGCCACTGTGCACCCCGTGATCGTGACCAGATCCTTCACCGGCCCAGCCTCAGCCACGTTCCTTATCTTTCTAGCACAGGAATCCCATCCCCTACCTCACCTGGGGGTAAGGGACCCGGAGGGGCTGGCATGCAGAGCCCATCCTCTAGAACCCCGTCCTCCAGAACCCCAACCCCCACAGTGTCCCATCCTCCAGAACCCCACCATGCAGGACCCCATCCTCAGGGCACCGCTCTCATACCCAGTGGGTAACTCCAGAACACCTGGGGACGCTGCCCACACATCACTGGGAAACCACGGCTTTGCGGCTCATGACCAGGCCCCCTTCTAAGAGGACAGGCCCATGGAAAGAAGGCTGGGGCCGCAGAGGACCCAGAGCCCCGCCCACTGTGGGACTGATCACTGATCTTGCAGGGGACCTGATGAGCAGGATGGCAGGAAGCCCATGGCAGCCCGGGGTCTGCAGCTTGGGGACGCCCAAAGTTGGGCCGTGTGGCACAAGACGAATGTTCCGTAGGCCCGAGCTTCAGCAAAGAGCCCACAAGGCACCGGGGTGGGGGCACCGCATTCCCAACTAAAGGGACTGCAGTCCAGGCTAAAAGACACGACGTGTGGCTCTCCCAGCGTGGCATCGGAGCCGCCCCGATCGCGCGCACGGGCTTCCGGGAAAAGGGACGTTGGGCAAACGTCTGCGCCCACGCCTCGTGGCGGGCAGAGCACGGAGGACCACCTTGCAGGCGCACAGAAGGAGCCGGCTCTGGGGGCAGGGGTGGGGGGGGCAGCGAGGACGCACAAGCCCCGGCAGGAAGGCGGAGAGAAGATGCTGACAGCAAGCCCCCCCCACCACAGCATACCCTTCTGGGCGGCTGTGACCGCGGGACCAAGCAAGGACTCTGAGGCTCCCGCTCTGTGACCTTGGGCAGGCACCTCGGGCTCCTCATCCACTAACTGGGCTGCTATAGGTGCAGCAAGCCCTCTGCAGGGGCGTGTGGGGCAGAGCAGGGCCGGCGAGGAGCAAATACATCGTTAGCATCTGCGATTCCCGCGTGTTCTCTGGCAAACCAGGATGGAGCAGACCTGCCTAACGAGACTCACGCCCTGGGCAGTGTCCCCATGTCAGCAGGGAGGGGCCTGCCCCACGCGATGGGCTGGCGTGGGCACCAGTCGTACAGGTGGATGGGAGCCAATGCTGGTGCCGTGCTCCCATATCCCACCACTGTGGGCAAAGGGCGGACACCTCCCTCTCTCCACCCCTGCCCCACAGCCCTCCTTCCAGTCCCCCCAGCACACTCCACCCCTCCTGCTCCAGGACCTTTGCACATGCTCTACAGGTCTGAAACACTCCCTACCCACTTAGGCCAGCCTCACCTGGTTAGCTCCTATTAATCCTAGACCTCTCCACTCACACGATGCCCCCCAGCAAAGCAACCCCTGACCCCTGGTCCAGCTGACGTGTCCTGCGAGGGCCCGGAACTCAGCCGTACAAACACAACTGACATAGGA